TCTGATTTCAGAAATGCAGCCACATCCCTGCAGTGGCCCAGGCCAGAAGCCGGGGGGCACTAGAGCACGCTTCCCTGCTGGGCTGGAGCAGACAGCTTGGGCCAAGACTAGCCCACCTACCCTGTGAAAGGAGGTTTGTGGAGGAGGTGCAAAGTCTCCTGGGATGCTGGTTAACTTGAATCTGGAGAGGATATGGGACAGAAGTTCAAGAAACTGATTTACTATAAAAAAAAATTAAATCTGATACTACATCCATCCAGGTTTATCTTAAACCGGTTCTGGCCATTTTGAAAGCAGTTTATGTGCACTGAACTTCTGTCATGTTGCACATTTGAACTGGTTTCCAATCACTTATACCGGTTTATGTATAATTTCTATCCCGAGTTCCAGAGGCCTAGTTCCATTGATGAATGGAAGAAAGAGTGGGACTCAAGTACTGAAGATACCAGTGACCTTTTCTCTGAATGTCTTCTTATCCACAGGGTAGGCCAGCAGGCCAAGCATACCCCATTGACCTGCACACCCCATTCACTTTCTGATCATATATACCCACCCTGGAATATGCTGCACAAACCACTCTGGTGGTGCTTTTAAAGCATACCCATGACCAGCATTTCAGGAATGATCACAAAGATGCCTGGAAGGTAGTTTCACCAGCACACCTTGAGATGCAACATATGAGTGGATAGGCAAGCGTGCTGAGGATCATCCCTGCTGGATCATGCTAGAGATGCAGTAGAGACACTTTTATGTTCACCTAATTCTAGTCTCCTTATGTACCATATGTATTTAATTCACACCCATTCCTTATCCCATTTTTCTGGCCAATAGCTATTATTCTTCTCAAACTGTGCCTACCATATGTAGCTCACACAAGGAGAGAGCTTCCAGCCTAATAGTCATCTCTGCCCTTGTGGCTCCTGGATATAGCGTTACAACCATTCTTTGGCAGAATCTCACAACTCTGAACACAAACTACATACTTTGCCAATGGTCATGACAAGCTAAGGCTATGTGCAACACCTCTCCACACTTGGAACCAATACACGCTGCATCCTTTTAAGGGTAAGAAAGCAATTTGGAAAAAAAAAAAACGTTCTGAATGCCCAGCTCTACCATTTCAGAATATGTTTTCTAATCTATTGATATCATTAAACCCCATTTCTGATTATTTATCAGGTTTATTACAGAAGGATAATATCAAGACTGACTTTGACCTATGTGGTTATTCTCATTTTTCCATAGCTTACACTTGATGCCAGGCCATCTGCAGACTCCACACTGAATAAAAAGCAAACACGAACAATAATCGTCTTTTCAACTGAAGACACAGAATTGACCAAACACATCTTTGAGTCGGCACTAATACGAAAAAGTTTCTGAAGAAAGCTCTGTTTTTGTTCACTCTTCATCCAGGTTCCAAGTGAAACTTAAAATTTACTCAAGTAAACTGGTAAAGATTACCACAGTTTATTGAACTGTGTAAAGGAAGACATGAAGTTTCATTTCAATGAGACCAGGGTTTTGGACCTGATCTTTTCATGAATTCCTCTTGCAATTTAGAAACTGCTTCCAAGAGCCGAGTTGGGCGATTTTTTTCCACCAACTCTTATCTTCACTAAAAACAAAAAATACAGATTTGTGTTGAGCAAAAACATTGTACAAAATATGTATAGAACTTGCCAAATTCTTTCAGTCAACTAAACAGAAGTAAATCACAGAAATGAAATATTTCCTTTGAAAATGTACTAACAACAAAACAGTTTTTTTATTTTAAAAATCATGTTTTGCTTCAAAATTCACTTCAATTTTATTGAAGTAAAATGTTTTTAAAAGCACAAAAATAAACTTGCTCCCTTTAACTTAGTGGAAATATATTCTTTTGAATCGATCCAAAGTGATTTTAATTTTTAGGGTGAATTCACCTAGATTAGCTCCAACATGATGCCTCTTCCTTCACCTGGGCTTTTGATCTCTATCCCATGTTATTTTTCAGGTTTCCTTTTCTTGGCTTAGATTATGTTTTATATATTTTAATATAAACATCCCTTTCCTTTGGTAGCCTTCTACAACAGTTCTCATGCAGATAAAAAGCTACAGTTCTTTTATTTTTTATTCTCTACCTGTATTTATTGCATTTCTCAGCAGAAGGTATTTAAAAGTTTGCTGTTTGACATAACTTTTTTATTGTTCCAGCAAGAATACAAATACAAAGAAATAAGCGCCTCTAGCTTTGGCCTCTTTTTTCTTTTCCCAATAAGTTCCATGTGTAATGAATATATCTCCACTTACAGCTAACTACTAAATACATAGGAAACAGCTATAGCCCATACTTAATTACTGGGGGAAATCTTGGCAATGGAATGAAAGATATGTTCTTGTTTAAATTAAAAAGATCAAAAAAACCAAATACTGTATGATTGTTTCCCAGCTCTTCAGAATTAAAAGCTTCTTGGTTTACTGAAGACTACAAAAGCAATCACTGTTATAGACCTGCTTTGCATACTGGCTCTATTAATTTACATGCTCATAGAGGGCCTCACATTCAGATACAACTGTTAAATTACACTGCTCTTGAGTAATGGGTATTAAAAAAATGCAACAGCATGATGCAACGTGTATTCAAACAGGCACGATTAAAAATATTGATTCTGCTGAAGATAAAAAATAAATAAACTACGCTCAGCTTTAATATTTCCATATCCTGGACACACCAATTCTAGGCAATTGAATTACCTAGAATCCCGTCTCAACAAACAGTTTTTGTTGCACATTACATATTATGCCAATTTAGCGTCTGATTATCAAAATAATTTAATTCCCAAGATTGTTTTGAGACATTTCCAACCTCCTGCTGTTCTTCCTCCCATCCTAATATTAACGATGACAACTTAATTATTGTGTCAGTTTCACATCAGTACAATTTGCTGGGTCACCACAGAGCAGGCCAATCAACAGCGAGTTACACAGCTTGTCCTTTATATGGCTGAACGACTGAGGACAAACAAGCAAGAGATTTGGTCAGACACGCAGCTAAGATAAAGAAGTATTCAGACTCAGCCAAAGGAAAGACAACAAGGTTATTTCTATTAATCAAAGTTTTACGTATGAATAGTACTGGTTTTTTGAGCCGTGAAATCTTCAGGTGTTTAAACACACGCTATGCCCAGCACACAGCCTATTTAACCCAATAGGTCCGTTCAACAAATTGCAGGTCTTATGTTAAGAGAAATGAAGCTTTGTATCCAATGGAAGCCAAAAAGGTACCTCTAAAAATTAAGCAACTTAGCTTTGTGCTTTGTGGCAAAATTATTTTTTAAATGGTCAAGGTAAAAAATGCAAAAGCCAAGTTCTACTCAGGTACTTTAGGGTGCGTCTACACGTTGCCAACGGTGCATCTACACGTTGCCAACTAAAGCGTAGCGCAGGCTGGGTGCGCGTGGTTAGATTTCGCCACTATGGCACCGTAGCGGCACGCTATGCTGGGGGAGAACGCCCTTACAGCAGCATAGCCGGCAAGCACATGTAGACCCATGCGATCGCTGCAGTGACATAGCATGCCATATGGCAACGTAACCTATCACTACATCGCCGTAGGGCGACGTGTGGACACGCACTTAGTATTACTGAAAGGCAGTACAGTTTCTGACTCAAGTTACTTTTCAACGTGGAAGTTGAGTTCCTATGTCACTCACTCAAGCACTTCGGAGAATTTTATCCCAAAACGGGATTTTAGAACTTGATATCAAGTTCTCTAAAGTTGACAGGAGCCTTCTTTTGATTTAATTAGCTCCTTATCAAGTCAAGCTTTAAAGCACTGCTCAAATTCTAGTACACGAATATGAAGCTTGACAAACTGTGACAGGGCTAACACATTGGCACACAATATGATAAATCTGAAATAAATAGGTAAAGGGAGAAGGGAAAAACGATTCCTTAACTGAATTTGGTTGCTTGTTGTTTTTAACCCAAACAGTGAACCTTACTTTCATGGGAATGGTTTGACTTGATAATCTGTTTTAAACAGTCAGTAATCAAACCAAAAGTAAGTAAAAGCATGCGGCTAGTAATGAAAATCATGTGAAAAAGTTGTTGCACTTGGTTGTTCCCAAATTAATGTCATTTACTACTTCTGTCAAAAGTTCTTTTTAAAATGATTTATAAAATTCATGTCGGGTGTGGTAGCGGTGTACCTACTGGCTGACAGCCTTGAAGTCCCAAGTCCACAAGACAGCACCAATACATAGTGAACAGCAGTACCGCAAGTTTTGCAACACTGCCTCATTAAGGGACACACACAAATACACTCTTGGGTGGAAATATTTTTAAAATGTCTCGGGTCCATTTCAGTCTCCAGCGTACCTGCTATGATGCTGTGAATTAGTGCCAGCCCTAACAGTGCAGTTTGTGATGTGGACACCTGGCCATTAGAAATGCGATTGGCCTCCATAACGGGAACACAGTAGGTCAAAGAAAAGACGGTAAAAGTCTTTAATCCCTAGTGATCTTAGACCAGGTCTAAAATGCATTACATTTACAGACAAGGTTCTCACGGACTTCAATGGGTTTTGGATGGACCCCGGCCTGAATTCAGATCATGCCTGTAGAGTGAATTTGTAATGAAATGCAAATCAAGGGCCTTGTGTGCAGCCAAGCTCTGATTACTGATGGAATGAGAACAGGGGAAAAAAAAATCCAGAGGCAACTCATTAAGGAAAATCAGAAAATGATTCTGAGTTCCCAGGTAAACATTTGAACCACAATGGATAAAATTACAGACTACTGCCAACCTTAATACACAGAAAGAGTCAAAGCCTGTATAAATATATGATTATGGCGAAAAGAAGGAGTGGGGGAGCTACTGTAGCACAGCAATGAAAGCTGTGCATTGAATCCTGTCAGAAGAAAATGCTGATCAATTCAGGGTGCAACATGAACACACAGACTGTGGTTAATACAGATTTTTTGCAAAACTGACATATGAAAATGACATTCCTTACAGTTCAGAATTGGTTGATCCTCTGTGAATTCAGATGGCTGTTCAATATGAAAAACCTTTTGCTGGAATCCAGGGACACATTCTAAATCTTCTGCAAACGTAAGCAGCAGAACCTGAAGAAACAAAGGAAATGTACTTTTAACATCCATTTATTCATTGATCGCACCGGGTTTTGTGAATGATAGTGGATTTGGACTCAGACAAAAGAACATCCATCACATCACACCTTTCCTTTAAAACTTGCTAACCATCGTTTTGGGTAAAATCTTTGATTTCTACACGTAGGCAGATATGAGAGCTGCAAAAATAATCTACAAGTCAACAAGTTCTCAAATCCGAAAGGTCTAACTAACACACACACACACACACACACACACTTGTTTTTAAGCACATTCATAAGCTTTAATGGAGTAATGGGTTGCAAGTATATGCTTACATGCATTAACGGACACAGTACTGTATAAATATGTGCTTAATTTAAGCACACTTTCAATTTATTTTAACAACTTGTTGAATCAAAGCCTCTACGCTTATGCTAATTTAGCATCTCTCTCAGCTGGGGAAAGTCCTCTACTAGAGGGCGATATGCTGCATCACAGAAGTTTCCTTTATAAAAACTCTGGTAGCTGATGGGAAAGGTCTTTTTCTTCTTTTCTTTTTTTACCTTCAAGCCACAGTTTGCCTGGTTTCCCCATAATCAAAAAGTTGTTTACCCCAGCGAAGATTGAAAATGAAATGTGTGCATCATATTGGAGGTGGATCTGAAGGTTAAAGTTAAATACAGCTTGTGTCACTGCTCATAGGTGATCACCAAAGCTCCCTGTCATCACAGGAACACATTGGCAAGGGGGGGAGGTTAAAAGGAAAATAAAATTGGTTGGAAATAGGTACCATGCCAATCTCTGTTTCTGAAGGTTTGTGTTCTATCACTGAATACAAACAAACAAGCTGAAAGGCTATTTTTCCTGGCAGGTTTGAAGTGGCAGAGAGGGAGTAAGAATGCCTGAGAAAGGAGTGAGAGGGGGGGAAAAAAAAAACAGTTATGGAAAGTTTAAAAGTTCAACAGATCAGGGAAAAGATGAAGAGGTGGGTAAATGATGGGGAGGAGGACCGATTTAGTTTTCCAATCCTAATTTTCAGAAGTCATTCCTAGTTTAAATTGCCCAGCAATCTGCAGTTCCCTAGGGGCAAAATGGGCAGAGTTGGTGCCCGGGCAAACCCTCGGGAGGAGAGGGGGCACAGGGCTCCAAGAGCAGAGGGGAAGCAGTTGCGAGTGGGGGCAGGCACGTATTCCCAGGAGCAGGGGGATGTGCCGTTCCAGGAGCATGGGGGGGACGCACCTTTCCGAGAGGACCACCACCAGTTGTACCCACCACTGCTGGGAACTCCTAAACAGTTCCTGGCAGAGCTGTTGCTGTTGTGGCA